CAACAAAGTCATAGAAGAAACATTTCTAACCTAAAGAAGGACATGCCTATCAAGGTACAAGAAACATACAGAACACCAAATAGACTGGACCAGAAAAGAAAGTCCCTTCAGCATATAATAATCAAAATACTAAAGGTACAGAACAGAAAAAGAATACTAACATCTACAAGGGAGAAAGATCAAATTGCATATAAAGACAGACCCATTAGAATAATAGCTGACTTCTCAATAGAGTCTAAAAGCCAGACATTCTTGTACAGATGTCCTGTTGACTGTAAGGGGCCACAGGTGCCAGCCCAGACTACTATACTCAGCAAAACTTGCAGTCACAATAGATGGAGAAAATAAGACATTCTATGATAAAACCAAATTTAAGCATTATCTGTCTACAAACTCAGCCCTACTGAAGATGCTAGAAGGAAAACTCCCACCTAAAAAAATTAACTACACCCAAGAAACCCCAAGGAATAAATAATCCCACTTGCAAATCAAGGGGAGGGGCATACCACAACAAGAAAATATCAGGAATCAACAAACACTGCTCACTGATAACTCCCAACATCAATGGTCTCAATTCCCCCAATAAAAAGACACAGACTAACAGAATGGATAGGAAAACAGGATCCATCCTTCTGCTGCATCCAAGAACATCAAGGATAAACATCACCTCAGGATCAAAGGATGGAGAAAGATATTCCAGGCAAATGAACTTAATAAGTAGCCAGTGTAGCTATTTTAATATCTGACAAAACAGACTTCAAGCCAAAATTAACCAGACGAGATGGAGGACACTACCTCCTTATCAAAGCAAAAATCCATCAAGAGGACATTTCAATTCTTAACATCTATGTACAAAACAAGAGCACCCAAGTTCATAAAAGAAATGTTAGCACAGCTTAAATCACATATTGACCCTCACACTGATAGTGGGAGACTTCTATATGCCATGCTCACCAACAGACAGGTCATTCAGACAAAAACTAAACAGAGAAATGCTGGCACTAACATGTTGTAAACCAAATGGACCTAACATATTTACAGACCATTTCACCCAAACACAAGAGAATATACCTTTTTCTTAGCACCTCATGAAATTTTCTCCAAAATTGTAGGGTAAAGGGGCCAGCCAAAGAAACCCACCCTGACTCTGACACCAGGGCCAGTGAAAGACACACACCTTGGCCCTGAAACCACAGCCAAAGAAACACACTCTGCCTCTAACTAACGCAGCATGAAAACCAACCAATCCCTGAGCACAAAATGTAGCCAATCTCTGAGTTTATCTAAGCTCAGGGGATTGAAATCTGACCAATTCTCACCCTGAAAATTTTCTCCCTGGAAAAGCTCCACCCCTAAGAAGCCCCACTGAAGCCCTGTACCTGTTCAGCTGGCAGCCGCCCTTCTCCACCCTGGCGGAGGCAGCCACTCTCCTGGATTCCTCCTTCCCAAATAAATCTCTGAATGAGTTTTGGGTGAAGACCTTCTTTGGCCGGATTGGAGCAGAGTCTCTGCTGAGAACTCTTAGGGGAGTGGAGCAGAGTTCAGCTGTAAAGGCTCTCTCTTGGAGAGAAGCAGGATTGCCACATCCTGTGGGGAGACCATGCCCCACTGGAAGCCAGCTTCAAGTATAGCCTGACTTCCTGACAAGTCAGGATACCTCTCTCCTCACAGCTGTAGTTATCCAGGATACCTTCCCTTCACAGCTGTAGGGGAAGGGTCCAGGAATATAGAAATATAAAATTGTAAACCTAAAAGAATAAAATACTGACAGTCATCAGCTCTAAAGGTTAACTTCAAACAATGGCTCTCTGCTTATAGCCAGCTCCTCTGTCAAGAGCCAGGGCTTAACTTTTTTTTGTTTGTTTGTTTTTGTTTTTGTTTTTCGAGACAGGGTTTCTCTGTGTAGCTTTGCGCCTTTCCTGGAGCTCACTTGGTAGCCCAGGCTGGCCTCGAACTCACAGAGATCTGCCTGGCTCTGCCTCCTGAGTGCTGGGACTAAAGGTGTGCACCATCACCGCCCGGCCAGGGGTTAACTTTTAACCCCCTTGCCCCTTATAGCCAACAACTGTCTGGACCAAAGTTAACTTTTAGTAGATGTTTCTACATGACTCCTAGCATGCATCCCGTGCCTGATGTTTCTACATGACTCCTAGCAGGCATCCTGTGCCTGATGCTTTCCCCCTTACTATAAAAAGGGGGACAGAACCTCCATGGCCACAGCCTCAGAATCCCGAGCACTGGTTGTGGTCTCAGCTGATAAGCTTATGTGCCCCAGAGTGATATTTTTTTCTTCCTCTCCGTTTTTTTTTTTTTTCATTCTTTCCTGGAATAAAGTTTGCTTCTAGTTTAAAAGACTTTGGTGGTCTGTCCCCCATTATAGCATGACCTCTGACCCAACATAGGTATTGCCTGGGTACCTTTCCCTCCAGAGCTGTAACACTTGCATTGAGCACTTACTCAGTCACAAAAGCAAGTCTCAACAGATACAAGAAAACTGAAATATTACCATGCATCCTATTTGACCACCATGGATTAAAAATGGATAAAAACTGGATATCAACAACAACCACCAAAACAACAGAAAGCTTACAAACTCACGGAAAAACCCAAACTTGTGGGATGTTGTGGAATATCACTTTAACTATGTGAAGGTGCGTTACATTTGTTTATGCTGCATTTGTTTAATTATGATGTATTGCATTTGTTTCACCTTGCCCGCCTAAGGGACCTGATTGGTCAAACAAAGAGCTGAATGGCCAATAGCTAGACAGGAGAGGAACAGGAGGGGCTGGGGGCAGAGAGAATAATAGGAGGAGAAATCTGGGCTTGAGAAAGAAGGAATGAAGAGAACAAGGGATAAAGAGAGGGACAAGCCTGGGGCCAGTAGCCCCCGCAGCCACGCAGCCCCGCAGCCGCCACGCAGCCACGTGTCAGCCAACACACGCCAGCCACCGAGACAGCAGGAAAGTAAGACATACAAAAGGAAAGAAAGGTAAAAAGCCCTGAGGCAAAAAGTAGGTGAAGAGAATAGTTTAAGTTACAAGAGCTAGCAAGAAATAAGGGCTACGATAAGGCCGAGCATTCATAATTAATAAGAAGTCTCTGTGTCATGATTTGGGGGCTGGTTGGTGGCCTAAGAGAAAAAGTCTGCTACAATGGGACACGAAGAAGGTGGTTCTAATAGGCAAGTTCATGGCTCTCAGCATCTACATAAAACATTGGAAATCTCTCATACTAACAACAGCACACCCATAACAAAAAGGAGAAATGCTCTATACCGGGTGGCGGTGGTGGGCGGCTCGTATTATGTGAGGGAAAAAAATCCATTTTCAATAAAAAGGAATAATTATTATTAGCCTTGCCCCCGGTCCAGTTAGTGCTGGCCATATGTGAGTGGGTGTGGCCACGCACTGGGGCATGAGCAACTTACCTGAGGCCACAGTCCGGAGCACAGCGACGCTCCCTTCCTCAGCAGCCATCAGTTGCTCATGGCTCCGCAGTCAGAAGCAGGGTCTTGGGTTAGCATGTCTCAGCCCATGTTAAAATTCCGACTGCCTAAATTGGGTGGTGGTAGCACACACCTTTGAATCCTAGCACCCAGGAGGCAGAGGCAGGTAGAGCTCTGAGTTCGAGGCCAGCCTGGTTTACAAAGCAAGTTCCAGAACAGCAAGAGCTACACAGGGAAACCTTGTCTAAAAAAGACAAATAATTCTGGCTGCCTTCTTGTCATGCAGCCCTTCTGCAGAGGCCAAGCTGGTGTGCACCGGCCATGTCATGTCTGGAAGACAGGACTTCACACCCTCCTCCTGTGGCTTGTACATTTTTTCTGCCCGCTGTCTGCAGTGTTCTCTGAACCCTGGGTGGGACACCTTCCTAAGGACGGCACATCTGAAGTTGGGCACCCACAGTTTTTATGATCAGAAGATAGGGATTGATGTCATGGAGCTATGTCCTTCTATGCTCACCAATTAAAAATAGCTAGATTTTTCCTTTGAAGTGTTTCTTTTGAATTCTGTAACTAATGACAAAGATTTGAATAAACTAATGTGAACAATGAGGGGGAAATGAACAGATATTTCTAAGTGCCCAGGCTAATGAAAGATACTAATTCATGAACTGGGGGAGACCAGCTCCCTCTTATTCCCTCAGGGTAGTTTTGAGCAGAGAGAAATGAGGAATTTGTAGATAAAAGTATATAGAGAGACAGAAAGAAAACACAGGAGAGCCTCCGGAGGGCCTGGGACTCAATCCACCAGCCCCTTCTGTCTCCGCTAAAGGGCTTTTTAAAGGAATGCCAAGGGGTGAGGCAAAAGACCTCCCCCAGCACAGTCAAGTGCAGACCATGCCAGACACCTGGTGACCACGCACGTGGTCCAGCCATGCCCTAATGCAGCCCTGCTGTATAAAGCAAGCTCAGCTCTCACTAGGAAACCTTTGTGTGCACCCACAATGAACTATCCACCAGGAGGCGCCATTATACACTACCAAGTGTCAAGAATAAGCTTTGCATAGGTCAGGACTGATGTGGTTTTAAAAGTCTAAGTGGGATGGGGCATTGTGGTGCACACCTTTAAACCAGGCAGAGGCAGGAGGATCACAGGTTTGAAGGCAGCTTGGGCTACATCGTGTGACCTGAAGTTCCCAGAAAAAGGCCACACCTGTGTTAAAGATTCTACAAGTCTGACTGATTTCCAACTGTGGAGAGTTGGAATGTTGAAGATATGGACCCAATATACACTGGGCTATCTTTAGTTCCCTGCCATTCATTGCTTACCTCTGTCTCTGGACCTAATTCTTGTAGGGAAAATGTTTTGGAATATATTAAATTCACACACCACTGACTTCCACTAATCCAAAGCTTTTACCAACCCAAACCACAGAGACTATCTTTGTTTTTTTTTTTTCATGGAGAATAAATTTATTCTAGTATGGTGATATTTTTTTTTCAGGCTTTACCCTACTCACTCACATACCTTTATTCTAATTCTTCCCAACCCCCATCATTTTCAGCAAGTAGCCGTCACCTCTATTTTACAGGAAAAATAAAATGAATCCATCCTGTAGTAATCCCTTCCATTTCTAACCACTGACGATATAAATAGCTACAAATGATGTCCTTCATTCACTCACACAAAAGAAGTGTCTCCCCTCCTGCGGCTGAGTCCCCGGTGTCCACCATCTTGTATGTCCAAGTCTTTGCCTATGTGGGAAAAACACCAAAATTGACTCCCAACCTCCGGCTACCAGCCTGGTGTCGTCCAGTTCTTAAAATCAGTAAATTTCCCAGTCTCTGTCTTGACTGTTCAGAACTGTTTGACACAGTGGATTGTTTGAAATCATTTCTTCCTTTGATTTCTCTGATGTCATATTCCCACAGAGACTATCTTAATACAGCCCCTGGAACCTGTAGCGGAGACTCTCGCCTACTCGACGACTATGTACATGGAAAGTGCCTTGACTTACGTTCTCACACGGTGAGCCTGGAAGAACTTTGCCGAGCCACTTCCACAGAGAAAATGTTCCTCTGGGAGATCTGAATCTGGGGTCCCAAGTCATGGTCATTCAAATTTGTCAAGAATGGACTAATTCTGATTTCCTTTATGATGAGAGCTGTATTTTGTCTCAAAAAACCAAATGAGGCTAGTGGGCAATATTGTTTGCCGGGCCTGCACAAAGCCCTGGGTTCCATCTCTGTTACCACGTGAACCAGGCATCGTGGCATGGGCCAAAATCCAACCTTCAAGAAGTTCAAGCAGGAGGATCAGAAATTCAAAGTTATCCTTGGCTATGCAGCAAGTTTAGGTCAGCCTGTACCATATGAGATTATTTCTCAATGATAACAAAACCCAAATACCAGAGTGGAGTGAGGGGGGGTGGGGTAAGGTGGGGAGACAGGCGGCTTAGTGAGCGCAGCGCTTGCTGTGACCATGAGGATCTCCAGTGACCTCTGTGACCTTTGGATCTCCAGTTCCCACGTAAAAAGCTGTGGAGGCTGCACACCCATAATCCCAGTGCCCACTGGCAGTCAGGGTCACTTCATCCACAGGAGCCAGGTTCAGAGAGCCCCTATCTAAAACATCAGGACAGGGAGTGACAGGGATAGGTGCCCTGCTTTGACTTCCTCCATGGGAGCAAGCATGGGCATGTATGCACACACAGACACACAGACACACACACAGACACACACACACACACACAGACACACACAGACACACACACACCATTTCACATATATGCACACACAGACAGACAGACACACACACACAATTTCACAAATATCCCTCCCTGAACATCCTGCATACACAAACGCACCCTATCTGAATGTCTGAATATGAACTGCTTCCATTTGCCAGCTTACCCCACACCCAGCTCCCCAGGCAGACGGGCATCATCCTAGGCCTGCTCATCTCACTCTTTTGGGGAGTATTATTTTAAGATGTGTTAACTTTTGTTTATGCTACATTTGTTGAACTCTGTGAAGCTGTGTTACTGTGCCTGTCTAAAACACTTGATGGTCTAATAAAGAACTGAACAGCCAATAGCAAGGAGAGAGGGGGGGGCAGGGCTGACAGGCAGAGAGAATATATAGAAGGGAAAATCTGGGAGGAGGAAAAAAAAAAGAGGAAGTAGCCAGAGAAGGAGGACTCCAGGGACCAGCCACACAGCAAGCCACAGAGGAAGAGTAAGATTTACAGAAGTAAGAGAATGGGAAAATCCCAGAGGCAAAAGGTAGATAGCATAATTTAAAGTTAAGTAAAGCTGGTTAGAAACTAAGCTAAGCTAAGGCTGGGCACTTATAATTAAGAATAAGCTTCTGTGAGTGATTTATTTGGAAGCTGGGTGGCATGCCCCCCAAAAGAGCAAAAACAAATAACATCTCTTTTTTTAACATTTATTTACTCTCTCTCTCTCTCTCTCTCTCTCTCTCTGTGTGTGTGTGTGTGTGTGTGTGTGTGTGTGTGTGTGTGTAAAAGAGGACACTGGCAGGAGTTGGGTCCTAAGAATCAAACTCAGGTCATCCACCTTGCCTCCTGTGTGCTTGGATTAAAGGTGTGTGCCCACCACACCTGGTCATCCCTGTACTCATAGCCAAGCCTCTCACAGCCTCCAAAATGAGTCATTCTGACCCGGCTGCCTTCAGCATCCACTTCAACCCAAACCCCAGTTCCTCACTGTCTCTCTGTTACCTACAGGGCGAAGTCCCATCATCTCAGATGCCCTCTCCCTGTCTAAACCTCTAACCTGCTCCAGGACACCTCCCGTCTCAGCTCTGCAGACACCTGTGCCCTGCATGCTGCCCTTGGCAGCCTCAGCCTGCTGGGGGCACTCTATCCCTTTCTTCTCTTAGGACTCTGGCCACCTCTTCCCAAAAGCCTTCCATAACTGGGGCCAGCCATTCTCTGGGCCACTCCAACCCTTCTGACTGAAAAGCCTTTGCTGAGCATGGCGTCTCCCTGGGCTGTGCACACATGTGTGCTTGTGTGTTTTGCACTAGCCAGTAAGGCCCCTTGAGCCTGCTAGCATCTTTACCCTGAGAGCTTAGCAATAGGGCCCAACCCAAGGTGATTCTTGGATGAGGGAGTGAGGAGTAGCTCCGGGTGAGTAGCTAAGCTGGTGGGGTCGGTTACCTGAGGCGTGAACATTAGAGTTGGAGCAGGCTTTGAAGCATGCGGAAAAGCGAGGAGAGCGTGCAGGCAGGACAATACATGTGGGACTGGTTTGTTTCAACACAGAGCCTCACTGTGTAGCCCATCCTTGGCTTGGCCTACAAGTTGAGATCCTCCTGCCTCAGCCTCTCAAGTGCTGGGATTACAGGCACTGCCATGCTCATTTTCCAGCAGACAATTCGGATGACTGATGGGGCTCGAGAGAAGTGTGGACCCTGGGTGTTAGGAACGTTTTCACTGTGGTGATGAGGCTGACTCAGATGGTCTCCTTGGTAACACAGCCCCATTGCTCCTTTCCCTCAGAAAGAGATTCCTTCCTGCAGCTTGGATCCCAGGCCAAGACTTCTTAAGAGAGGCCCTTGGGGTTGCAGATGGGTTCATGGGAGGATGGCTGGCTCCGGCCTGGGGCAGCCCTGCCTTCCACAGGAACTGGAGTGTGCTGTTCTGGACAAAGTATCATGGCTCTGGGTGGGCCCATACCTGACAGAAAGTCAACAAATACTGCTTGGCCGTGGGATCGAGGCTGGGACTACAACAGTGCCCCGGGCTTGGGGGCCCCAGGCCTTTCTCAGATCTGTGGGACCAGCAGTTAGGTCCAGGTGAGTGATAATCCAGCACTCACCTCCTCAGCACATTCCCAGAGGCACCAAGGCAGGAGCCAGTGTGGCCCGCGCAGAGAGCATTAATGCTGTCAGCTCTCCCATAGCCTGGGCTCCAGCAGGGAGGCCACTGCTCCCAGAGACCTTGTGTACCCCAACCCCCAGGACTGGTTTCCTGTGACTCTTCCTAGGAATACACCGCCCAGATCCCACCCGGAACCACAGCCATGCTGGAAGAAACCACCCCAGATTTGTCTCACAAAGGTGGAGTTAAAGTGTGGACCTCAAGTGGCTACTTAATCAAGGTTCTACATCTACACAGTGAACAGCCTAGGGCGCTGCCTGGACAGATGACCACGAAGCTGGGGTGGGGGTGGGGGATCCGCAGGCAGGCGCTGCTGCTGCTGCTGCTGCCTCTAGGCTCCTTCCAGCGGCCACAGGCTGGGAGTGGGAGGCAATGAAGGCGCTCACATAGCTGTGCCCCCTGCGGGCTGACCTTTAGAGTCGGTGCTCTCCAGGGTTAGCCGCCATGCAGTCCATGATATCCACTCAGAATGGGGCCACGGCAGCAGCCACACACTCGGCGCACACAAGGCTAACGGGGGTCAGAAAAAGACAGTGACTTGAGTGACCATTTTCTCCCACAAAGCACAAAGCCTGCCTGTGAGACAGAAGGGAGCTGAAACAAGAGGCTGGGTAGACGCGCCTGCCTGGCTTGTAGGAATGTCTGGTTTCAACCTCCAATGTCAAAAACATTTTTGAAAGGCCCTTTCTGGCTGTTTGGTGGCTCACAGAGCAATCCTAAAGTTGGGAGGTAAAGGCACAAGGGTCGGGAGTTCAAAGCTCACTTCAACTACATAGAGAGGTCAAGGCCAAGATGGGTGGGATAACAGAAAATCCTCTGGGGGCCAGGGAAAGAAGGGGAGAGAGGGAGAGAGGCGGAGAGAGGCACAAGGCTCAGCCTCAGTCTGACTCCTGTCTGGCCTGCATCCCTACCCTGGGGCTCTTTGGATTCCTCGCACCCATTCCCGGTGGTTGACTCAGCTAACTTAGCCACAGCTGGAGTGTCCGTGTTGATCCCGTTGTGTAGCAACACACCTGTATGAATTCGCGGGACTTCTCCAGGCTCCATTTCCTCAGACTGCTGCTGGATGGCGAGACTCCTCTGTACAGCACGATAAGGCTAGTGCCTGTCAGTGCAGACATTCCTTACGAGGACAACGTCAGTCCCTGAAGGTCTGGAGAGAAGATTCGGGAACTACCTATTGATGACAGATGGTTGAAATTCAGCAGTGAGTGAAACATTGATTCCCCTGTCCTGGTAAGAGACTAGAGCATTCGGCGATTCTTCGATCCGTTAAGATGGTGTGGGACTGAGGACATAGCTCTGTTGGCAGAGTGCAAAACCAGGTATGGTGGAATACACCTATAAATCCAAAACTCAAAAGGTAGAGGCAGGAGGGGCAGGAGAGCCGAAGGTCAAGGAGACCTTGTCTCTAAAATTAACTATATAAATAAGCAGCATCTTACCCGACAGATGCTTCCCTTGCCTATCATATATCCACCCCCTGCTCCCCACTTCTAAAAGTTCCCAGGCACTTTGCCCAATGCACCACATGTTAGGAGGAAATGTATCCCAAGCCTGACCCAGTCAGCCCTTGGTAGCTAAAGACAACGAGGAACATCCATTGCCCTGGGCACAGCCAGGATTGGGGGCAGCCCTGTGACCTACACAGGGCAAATGAATCTTGTAAGATTTACTTAGAATGTTGACCCAGAATTCCTTTGCTCCCTACATGATCATGTGTAACCCTGATGGCTGCCTATAGCCATCTTCCGTGAGAGATGCTGGCCTGAAGAGAACACTGCCCCGTGAACGCACAGGAGAAGGGGACGATGGACCCCTGACATCGCTGCTCTACGCACTGAGAAATGCCAGCATCTGTGCTTCCTCTGACTCATGGGAGCCGGAAGAGCGCCTGTATGGGGGATGTGGGAGCCGGAAGGGCGCCTGTATGGGGGATGTGGGAGCCGGAAGGGCGCCTGTATGGGGGATGTGGGAGCCGGAAG